TTACCTTTCTTGTCACGCTCATAGGCTCTGACTATGTCGGGAGCAGTCTCTAGAAGTTATGCTTTCGTGAACCAGCGGTCGTCTTCCGGTTCCTGATACGCAAACCGGACTTTATATTGTTTTTGGGGACGACCTCTACCTCCTGTCCTAAACACATCCTCTTCTACAATGCCCCCTATGTCGTAGCTCCCATCCATATCCGGTGAGATCATGGATCTCCTGGAAGGGAACTGTTGACTCGTGACACACGGCAACAACTTTGAAGCATGGAACACAGGGTATGTGTGGAGGTGTGCTGGAATCTCAATGCTGTAGGACAGTCCATCCTCTCCGCCCTTGACTTCTAGAACCGGCCACGGTCCTCTATATGCAGGCAGTCACTTCTGCGAGATGTTTTCTTCCGGTGCAAACTCTTTTGCCTTGACCCAGACTAAGTCGCCTACTTGAAACTGTGATGGGCGAAGGTGCTTGTTAGCCTGCTCTATCATTCTGCGCTGGGCCTTTGAAAGGTTCTCAACAACAGTGGCTAACTCCTTCTCGTGTTGTATCGCAAACTCTCTGGTACCGGGCGGTAATCTGTGAATCTGATCCCGGTTTAGTCCTTCGAACGGTCTGCGTGGTCTAAAGGACTTGTGCAACTCATTGGGAGTGCGGGAGGTGGATAGATGCACGCTGTTGTTGTATGCACTAGCTACCTTAGGCAATATCTCATCCCAGTTAATCTGATCTGGTCTAATGTACATGCGCAGAACTTGCTGTAGGATCTTGTTCATTTGTTCTGTCTGACCGTTAGTCTCTGGGTGACGGCCGGATGACATTAACAACTTAGATCCGTAGACTCTCATGAGTTTTTGCCATTTCTGGCTGGTGAAACGACTGAATCTATCACTAACTATTGACAATGGGATCCCATTCTCACTAACCCAAAAGTCAAAGAACTTTTGTATTACTAAATCTGTACGTGCCTCTGCAGGCAAGGGAACAAAATCTGCATACTTACTAAAACGGTCGACTATGACCATAACTTGGCTCTTACCATGTCTACTCTTGACTTGCGTGTCCATGAAGTCCATGAACATTGAGTCTCCCGGCTGATCCGGAATAGGCAAGGGTCTGAGAAGACCTAGGGGCGCGCGTGTAGTAGATTTGTTCCTCTGACATACTTTACAACTGCGGACATACTCTATGCAGTCGTTCTTCATCTCTGGCCAGGTGTACGCACGCATCAGATTGGCGAACGTCTTTTGCCAACCGAAGTGTCCCTCAGTATTGAGACATTCCCCTAGAATCAGACTACGAATCTCTTCGCTGTTGGGAACGCACAGGCGGTCAAACACATTAGTCTTCTCGAACAGCAACCCGTTTGTAGTGCGGTAATCTGGTTCGGTCTCTGGGGCCTCTCTAACTCTCTTTAGGAGGTCGCTATAGATAGGGTCTTGCGCATACGCTTGTTTCACTTTCTCCTTCAGGTCTCTCCCTATATCTAGATAATGTACTACGGCTCCAAAGTAGTCTGATCTCCTACTTAGAGCATCCTCAACTACGTTGTACTTGCCCTTCACTGGCTTGAGCTCAAAGTCGAATTGGTCTATCTCTGCGGCCCACCTGGTCAACTTAGGTGTCATCTTGGCCTAGGTCTTCAACCATCTAAGCGTTTCATGGTCCGAATAGACTTTGAAGTGCCTCCCAAGCAGGTAGTGCTTCCAATGGTCTAAAGCCTGCCTGAGAGCGTAGAGTTCTCTTTCGTACGTGGAGGTAGCAACCTTCTCACAGGGCATCCTCGCGGACATGAACTCTACGGGCCGATAACCATGGTCGTCGTCTTGCTGTAACACGGCGCCTATCCCATACTGGCTCGCGTCTGTGGTGACGACAAATGGCAAAAACGGTTCTGCAACTTTGAGGACAGGATATTCTATTAACGCGCGCTTTAGCTTCTTGAGCGCAGATGTACAGTCTTTGTTCCATTGCCAGATTGCCTCCTTCTTTAGCAGCCTGCGCAAGGGGGCAACAATAGTGGAGAGGTTCCTCACGAACTTCCTATAGTAGTTAGCTAAGCCTAGGAACGACCGCAACTATGTCAATGTGCGGGGCGTCGACCAATCTCTAATCGCCGCGATCTTGCTGTCCTCTGTTTGATGCCATCTCCGTCTAATACGTGGCCCAAGTACAAGACTTGCGTCTTGGCCCACTCGCACTTCTTCGCGTTGATCTTGAAGTTAGCCTCTCTAAGATTCTCCAAGACTTGCCTCGGATGACCCTGGTGCTCCTGGAGGGTCTTACTAAAGACTAGGATATCATCTAAGTAGACTACTACAAATTTATCTAACCATGGTCTAAACAGGTCATTCATACAACGCTGAAAAGTAGCTGGCGCGTTGGTTAGTCCAAAGGGCTTCACTATAAAATCATAATGCCCATATCTAGTCTGGAACGCAGTCTTGTACTGATCATCAGGATGAACCTCTATCTGATGGTATCCGGACTTTAAGTCTATCTTAGAGAAATACTTACAACCCAGATAGAAATACTTACAACCCTGCACCCGATCTAAAAGATCGTCTATCCTGGGCAGCGGCTCAGCATTCTTTACTGTGATCGCGTTCAGACCCCTATAGTCTATACACATACGAAGCTCTCCTTCCTTCTTGGGGACAAACAACACTGGTGCTCCAAAAGGAGACGAACTGGGCCTGATCCAACCCTTCTTAAGGAGTTCGTCTAACTGCTTGCGAAGCTCCTCTAACTCTCTAAGGGACATCCTGTAGACTGCACCCTTAGGAGTTCTATTGCCAGGCTCTATCTCTATCCTGTGTTGGATGAGTCACGACACTACTCTTGTCGGCGACTCAGTCAAATCCTTGAATTCTTCCAACAACTTGACAATTGTTGGATTTGTGGAACTATCATTTTCCTGGCCCTCAGTGACAGGTCTCACATACACTACAAAGACCTGTTCCTCTAACTGCTCCTTCCTCACTAACCGTGCAAACGCGGGAACACTGAGACAGCAATGTGCCAAGGTGTTATCTACACCGGACACATGGAACAAGCGAGCAGTCTTAATGTCGCCTGACGGGCTAGGGAGCCTACACTCGTGCTCTCTCAAGTGGAGTGTGACCCCTGCCGCCTCTCCCCAATCCATTCCTAATACTACATCAAAAGGAAGGTCATCTTGTACGAGGAGAGTCAGGGAATGGAGAACTTTTTCCGCCTTCCCATCCTTCTCTAGGCGAAAATACGCCTGAACTCCCTCTACATAGTCCTCAACGCGCATCGTGCGGTTCTCTGCGAGGACACTAACTATGGGGTCTACTAACTTCTGGACTTTTAGTCCCAGCCTCAACTTCCTCAGCACCCTACGGCTGATATAACTACAGGTAGCCCCTGAATCTATAAGGGCCCCTACTCTACTTCTGAACACCTTTACATCTACCAAAATCAGTTGTCCCTTACTCTCTCTTTTCATTTTGGTCCAGGCTGGCATCCTCTCCTTCAACTCTTCTGCCACACCTGTGAGGGATGTGCCTAAAGAGACGCTAACACAGGCGGTCTCTGGACAGCTATGTAGGCACGGACAGCTAGGTTGGGAGTGTCTTGTTCACGCGCGCTCACTTCTCCGTATGGCCTGGAAGTAGGGGCAGTTGCGACCCCTACTGGCGGCTGCCTTTTGACGACTGAGCAGCTCAATGGGCCTGTCTATACTTTGGACAAAATTTGATAACGTGGGCCGGGTCACCACAGAATATGCACTGACCCCGATCCACGCGTTCTTGCCATACACGCTGGTCCAAGCCCAAATCCTCCCAGGGTCTGCCCTGTGGCAAGCCTGGGTGCCATCCTCCTTGAGGTGCCCTTCCACCTCCTCGCTGTGGGGACCGGAATGAACCTTGGCGATTTGACGGGGGACCTTGACCCCTACCTCCCGCTTGGCGGTTTCCTTGGCCGCCAACGCCCTGTGCGCCCGGTCCTCGGCCACCAATGGCCTGGCCCCTTTTGCCCTGGCCTCCTCCTCTACCTTGCGGCCTCCCTCCGGCCGCGACAGCGACGTAAGACCTCCCCTGCCCTACACTATTGTACTCCTCCCCTAGGCCCCACTCAATCTGATCATATGGGACCTCTTCTGTACCACCCTCCTCTAATGTCAGGATCAAGTGATCCTTGGCCTTGACTTGGCCCGAGATGGTACGATCTTTCCACTTCTTCCCCTTCTCCAGGTCCTTATGCCTGAAAGTGGTAACTGGCATAGACTTCGACTCATACAGGACGACTTCTCTACTCAATGCATTGTAAGTCATGCCGACCTGCTGAGATTTGTCAAAGAAATGCCCGCGTAGGGCCTCTGGAATGGCACGATAAAACAACCGGACCAACTGGGGCTCAGTGACCCCGTGGTCCGGGACGGTTACCAAGTCGTCCATGGTACCCTTGAGTGCCTTGGTACTCCTCCACTGATGGGAGTGGATCGTTTGGAGCTTATCAGAGGCTTTAATGCCTCACGTTGGGTCAGCGAACTGCTCCTTGAGGAGCTTGAGGAATTGGGAAAGAGGGGTGACTTTGGAATATGCAACCATGTTGTTCTCACAACCGGCTGTACGTGCGAGAGACCTGGCGAAGCTAGCCGCTTCGTCTTTCAGGGCCTGGAAGGCCACGAAGACTTGCTCCTCCATTAGGATATGCTGTAAATAAATGTAACTATTGACACTGGCCTCCCAGTTGTCAAAGTTCTCGTCCTTCTTTCCCCCGTACGCGTCTGGGAACTTAAATTTCACTGGGTCCTTACGGGGTCTGGCCTCTCCTTCTACAGCGGCTGCAACTTTGTCACCCTAAATGGCGCCCTCACAAAACTTCCCTACATTGTCCCTCAACTGTTTGACTTCGCCCCCAATGTGGGTGACGATTTCGCGCGCAAAATCCCTGAACCCGGACCGCATGGCACTCAACGCTACATCCTGGCTCCAGCTTGTCTGGCGCTCCTCCATCCAGGCCTTGCTTAGCACCTCTCGATAGCTCAGTACTTTGTCCCACTTGGCCTTATCATCTGGCTGGGCCAGGCTGGGCCAGCACCTCCGCTCTACACTCCTACACCTTTGCCACTGCTGCGGTCATCTTATTCACTTCCACTCTCCTCCTCTTCTTCTCCCTCTTCATTCTCAGCTTCCATGCTAACTTTTGCTCGTCTTCCCTCTCTCTTCGTTCCATCGGGTCCGTCATGGCTGCTAACTCGGCGGCCAGTGCAGCCTTCTCATCCTTAGTCACATACGACTTTGCCTCCTCGTCTTCCCCCAATGATAAATTAGCGAGCCACTCGCTGATCTTCTTCTCCAGCTCAGTATCTGTCTCCCACTTCATCGTGCCACCACTACTTCCTTCCCCACTCTCAATTCTCATTCTCTCTTTCTCTTCTTCTGCTGCCGCTTCTGCTTCACCAGCCTTCCTTCTTTCTTTCTCCTCCTGTTGTACCCTCTTCATCTCCTCCTCCAACCTCTTCATCTTCGCCACCTGCTCATCTGCGATAGCCTTTAGCTTCGCCCGCTTCTCGCGCTCTTTTCTGTCCTTGTTCTCTCTGACTAAGGCGGCCATCTTTTTTTGCTGCTCCTTGCTATAGGGGTTAGTCTCTAGCCCAGTACGGGTGTCAACCATGGTGATCGGTGCACAATCAGGATGGTTCCACTCCTCACCACGTAGACTGTAACCCCTGAGTGATAAACCTATAGACTCACTCTAAGAACCCACAAAATCCCTGACAAGGACCCTGTCAACTATGGTCTCTAGCCTAGACCTATGCTATGGCTGTCACTACTGAACCAGTGGCTGATCAGGAGGCATTTAAGGAGATCCCCCATTACTCCTCAAGAATTCTTTAACGTCGCAGACAGGACGACGTGATCAGCTTGGTTCTGCCTGTGCTTTCAGCCCACAACTCAGCCTTTCCGGCCYACTGTGCCACACCAAGCAGCCCGCCGGTCTGTACCGGTCCTTGGGAGGGTTTGTATCCCCCGGGACAGTCGAGTCGTCAGACATAGATCATCAACCTTACTTGGTCTGGTAGGGGAGTGGTTCCAACAGGCCCTCAACACTTAACGACGGCCTCCGTTTCAGCCTGCTGCTCAGAGTTCGGACCCTCTACACTGAAACTAAGCAGACCTGCCGGACAGTACCGGTCATTGGGCTAGACGAGTTGTTTAACGAGCGCTCGCCGCTCATGCCCAGGTCBCCAGATACCAGAGTAGAGATTAGTCCTACTAAGTCTCGTGCAGGTTAGGCAGCAAGACCCTATCCCTCATCCACAGAGTTCTATCATCTATGACCTAGGACAGAAGAGACTCAATGCAGAAAGAATAGACAGACAGACTGTACTCAGCAAGTACCAAGGGGTATGTGCACATCCATAGGGCAAGGGGCAGGCTAAGGGCTTGGCAAGATGTTACCAACTCCAGCTTGGTCAAAGTCTTGGTCAACGCCTTGGTCAACGGCCTTAGTCAACGCCGGTCAACGCTGCTATGACCCTCGGTCAACTTCGGTCAACTCCGGTCAACGCCTCCGGTCAACCCTCTCGRTCAACTCCCCGGTCAGCTATGGCTGCCGGCACTTCTTCCTCGCC